ATTTTATCATATGATTATCGATGAAATACCAGTATAGTTCTCAATTGCGTAAAGCTGTTATTTTCCAGCGAAAAAAAATTCATATTTCCGTGCTAACTCGTATGTAAGGACCGATACTCGTGCGATTGTCTCGCGCGACGCAGTGCTCTGCGATATATTGTCGTTTCACGCTAACTCGTATGTAAGGACCGATACTCGTGCGATTGTCTTGCGCAACGCAGTGCTCTGCGATATATTGTCGTTTCTGTGCTAACTCGTATGTAAGGACCGATACTCGTGCGATTATCTCGCGCGACGCAGTGCTCTGCGATATATTGTCGTTTCACGCTAACTCGTATGTAAGGACCGATACTACTCGTGCGATTGTCTTGCGCGACGCAGTGCTCTGCGATATATTGTCGTTTCACGCTAACTCGTATGTAAGGACCGATACTCGTGCGGTTGTCTTGCGCGACGCAGTGCTCTACGGTATATTGTCGTTTCACGCTAACATGTAAGGACCGATACTGCATGCGTAAGTCGCAAGCGATTCAGTTAGTGGTATTCACTGCCTGACTACTAAATATCGAAGTACATGCCATTATAGCCTGCGATTCAGTAATATTTCGATAAGTTAGTGGTGCATTTGTCTAAGGACAGATATTCGTGCGGCGACCGTCAAGAGCGCACTATCAAACGCCGTAGCTACGATGAGGGAAGCGAGACACCTTGCCTCGGTAAAATTTTATCGGGTTTTCTTTAATTCATTCGTTGCCAAAATAAAGGAGCCAAATTTGGAGCAATTTGGAGCTAAAATGATATTTCAGTCATCAAAACATTTTCCTGAACCGATGGAAGTGTTCAAGACGGTCATCGCAGAATTGCGCAAGCTTTTGCCTCGTAGTTTTTAAGATTAATTTGAATATGCTTATAATTACATTATTTTCAGTGACCATCTTTGTTATGAACACGCTCGTTTTGTATGTCTAAATTTTTCATCAAGCAATAGTAATGGTCCATACTAATCCTAATGAAAAAGTCAACGTTTCCGATTAAAAAAAATGTAAAAATCGTGTAAAATTGTAGGATAGAAATGTCACAATATGCTTGGCAAAATGCTGTAAATTCCTTTTACGAGTGTCTGAATTTCAAAATTTTCAGGGGAGTCTTGTCCCCCGAACCGCCTAGGTGCGACCTCAGTTAACATTTTCCTCTGGCTACGGCGTTGCTATTTGGTTTTCTTTTGCGTTGGGTACGTTACATATACGGAGAAAAATACAAAGCTGTTGCCTCCACAGTTGKGTTTTATTAAACTCTAACAATTGTTTCTAACATTAACGCGGAAAAGCACGCGGTATAGAATTGAACTTCGGCTTTGAAGTTTGTGATGATGCGTGCAGCATGTCACGTGGTACTATCAGCAACACGAAATGTTGCGTGTTGGYCTTTTACYAATAACAACAGACGTTTCGTCTTCTGSGGAAATAACGAGAAAACAATGCTACCAATCAGGAGAGACGAATCATGTCCTTTTCTATCAGACTCTACTCTAAATCAGACCTGTGACGTCTAGTTCTTTGGCAACATGATGGAGCTGCTTAAATCATCCTGAAATAAAAAAACACGTGTTGTTCATCATTCGTGTACTTGAAATCTGACAGTCATTGACAGGGGACCGCACTTCTCATACAAAACCATGCGCTATAGTTCACCCTTGGGATCCCTGGGGCTTTTCTGAGTAGGGACGAGTGAAGATTAACCATTTGACGTCAGTCTCCCCCAGCCCCCACTCAAAACCTCTGTGTCCGAGGAAGATTGGTATTGCTGGAAGTGATAGGAGGTTGGTCATTGAAGAATTGTAAAAATAGGCCTGCAATAATAATTCTGTAGCTTTAAAATATTTCCGAGAAGCGTTGTTCGAACTTTGCCCCAATACCACATCTTTGCATAAATCCTTGCTATGGGCTCGGCTACCTTTCAAGATGGTGCTTGGAAATGGGAGAATCTACGTAGCACTCAGTTGATGTAATATATTCATAAAGATATGATACAAAACACATAATACAATAGAACGAGAAACAATGGAATACAATACATTTTATGAATACATTACATCAACTGCGTGCTACGTAGGTCACCCCGCTTGGAAATATAAACTAGAGTATAGTTTGATACAAACCTGTTTTTTCTTGAGTATCTCGGTCCAGTCTTTCTCGGCAATTCTTGAGATACACTCGAGTAGAATCTTGGTAGCATTGGCAACATTCTTCTTGAAAACTTTGAGAACCGCTTCGACCGWTACCTTTGGAAAATAAAGTCATGATACAACATAAATGAAACAGTTAAATCATTAATGAGATCCAGGCGGTGCATTGAATACTTGAATATGACACGGAATTCGGAGCGTTCCTCGATTGATCGTTACACAATAAAATCTTSCTTTTCTTAAAACTAAATATAACTACCCTGAATAATAAAGTCATCTTCCCCGTATCTGGTTTAGTTGCGC